TTCCATTGTGTATATGTACCACATTTTCTTTATCCATTCATCTGTTGAAGGGCATCTAGGTTGGCTCCAGAGCTTAGCTATTATGAATTGAGTTGCTATGAACATCGATGTGGCCATGTCACTATAGCATGCTGATTTTAAGTTCATTAGGTATAAACCAAGGAATGGGACAGCTAGGTCAAATGGTAGATCCATTCCAAGTTTTCTGAAGAATCTCCATGCTGCTTTCCATAGTGGTTGCATCAGTTTGTCATCCCACCAGCAATGTACTCACATACTTTCTTTACAAATAGCAGGAGCTGGCTATTGTAAGGGAAGAACATACCTAACAGAATTATGATACTGGTCTGTTTCTTTCTCTATGTTTCTTTTGATGGTCATACTTCTGTAATTCCATACTGAAAGGGGGAGATTGCAGGGGAATTCTATAGCACTTGTTTCTCTTGGGAAGGAGTGTGTGTCTTCTCTTTGCTTTGTGAAGAAGCCAGAGACTGTTCCTGTTTTTGTGAAAACCTCACATAGGATGATAACAGAATTGAAGAGATTCTGCCCTCAGTTTTGCATTTAACACACATTGCTACCCATATGCATTCTCTGTATCCTAACCTTTTCCTAGTATACTCAAAGCATGATGGTAGGAACCCAGATACATGAAGTAGCTCTTTCTGACCCAAATCATATTATAATAGCCTTATTCAGAAAATTGAGATACTCTTCTCATAGGCTTTTATATCTATACTTCATTGGACTCTCAGTTTCCTCGCATGCTTTATTTCATTATTAATTTTAAAACTTCTTTTGTGATTATTAAAGTAATAAAAGTAATGAGCTTATGAGAGAACCCTTGAAAACTATGACAGTAGGAAAAACCCGTTCATATCCCACTACCCAGAGACACATGCTTGTTCCCTAGAGCTCATTAAAAGGTGTAGTAATTAAAATGCTATGCAAAATATTCTATCATTGCCCTGTAATCCCAGCAACTCAGGCAGCTGAGGCAGGAGGATCACAAGTTCAAAGCCAGCTTCAACAACTTAGCAAGGCCTTAAGCAACTTAGCGATTAAGATGAAAAATAAAAAGGGCTGAGGATGTGGCTGAGTGGTTAAGCATACCTGGGTTTAAACCCTGGTATCAAAAAAACAAAAACAAAAACAAAAGAAAAATCTGTCAATGGGGAAACTCTATTTTAACAAATTCAACTTTAGATGTTTTTACAAATGCACTATGTTTATAAAACTCACATGGCCTTCAAAGTGTGGGCTTTTTACTGTTTTTTTTTTTTTTGAACATAAAATATTTAAAAAGTTCACATTGGTTTATGGGTAAGCCATCTTGCCTGAAGTTATTCCCAAATTTAAAGAACTTTATATATGTAATTAGCTTCTCAGTGTCTACATTATTCAAAAATAACAAAAGAAGATTAAGACATGGAAAAACCAACATTAAACAATTACGTAGGTTTTATAAAGTTGATCACAAATCTGTGACCATTGGCTGAAGTATTGACATTTTGTCCCTCTTTCCCTTCCCTGTCTCTCTCCCTTTCCTTTTCCTTGTAGTATAAACTTTCAGTCAAATTTATATACTCTGAAAACAGAAAATATTTGAATCCATCCATAATTAGAATAAAAAATCAGAAAATTGACTATTAATAACAAATGTAAGAAATTAGTCATCTAACCCTATAACTTAAAATACCTTTTTTCATTGTGCATCTGTCCTAAGTGTTATTGGCTTAAAAATGATGCAAATTGTCAACAATTTACTTAAAAACTTGTGTGTATATCCACTTTTTCCTTTTAGGCTATTTTCTGAAAAAGGAAGCAGAAGTTTCACCAGTATTTTAGAGATGATGTTGCTTTCAGTGTAGTGTCTGCAGCAAACAGATAAGTCTTCCAGATGTTATGGCAGTTACTAAGAGAAGAATGGGTCTTATTTTAATACACGCAGGATGGTATTTATGTTAATTTTGCATAACACATTCAAAGAAAATGTTAGGATATCCCTTGTCATCAACTGTGAATTTGAGTTTCAGGGCTTTAAGCATTTTTAGACCGTGTATGTTGAAACATTCTAGCATCTAATATTGCTGACTACACAGGCTTTTTTTTTTTTTTTTCTGATTGCGCATCCCTGGGTTTCTAACGGAATGCAAAGGAGAAAAGGAAGAAAGGGCGTTTGATGAATTGCAAGACCATGACTTAGAAATGTGATTAAGTCTGGGATGACTAACAAAAGCACAGGAAGACTCCACATCAATGGCATGTGATTATGACAGGCATAAACACTAACCATTATCAATCGCCCACATGTTTCCAAGGATTGATCCTGTTTGCCTCCAACGGATCCTGGTGTCTTGGGTTAGTGCTGCGTTAGGGAGGGGAATCGTTATTCGGTTCCACCTGCAAAAAAGTTAGCACAAAACCAGACTATGTTGACATCTTTTAAATCCATATTATATGCGTGTGATGTTCCCATCTCTAGGTACTTGTAATAGCACTAAAGATTCTCAATAAACTCTTTATGTTCACCTATGGAATTTGTGCATAGTTTAAAAACAGACATACAACTTGTAAGAGCACCCATATCCTACTAGAGTAGTGGATTTATTCTTCATAGCAAGTGATATTTATTTTGTTTAGACATTATTTTTATAAAATGTTTTATTTATTTATTTATTTATTTTTAACTGATATATAAACATTGGACATATTAATGTGGTGTCATGTTATGTTTTGATACATTTATACATTCTGTAAGGTTTAAATCAGGTTTTACAATACTCACACCTTAGATATTAACCTACAGAAATCATCTGTGTAGAGATGGGGTGCTGATTAGCATCAATTACTTTTTAATTTTTTGCTACCCCTTGCCCTCTGCACATGTAAAAAGGGGTAGCAAAATGTTTTTTAAAAAGAAAACATTTCCCAACTTAATTTTGATGTTCTTGTAAATATTTTTACTATGTAAATCATATTTATTCTGTTAAGTGGAAAGCATTACATAACCATTTTAATTCTAGTAATTCTCAAAGGAATACATTTATGGTCTTTAATTTATGTGAAAAGAAGTAGAAAGTTTCTCAGAGAGAATGCATATCATTACCCAGATAGTAGATGGCAGAATAACATATAAACTCAGGTCTAATTCCAAAACTTAACTTTTCTATACTTCTCTATGCTGGCTCTTTCCATAAGTCTTATTTTGGCAGTAAGCCTTTTGGTAATAATCACAGGATTGCCATAACAGAATTTAAATTCATGTAGTCCAAAATATAAGTCAGGTACATGAAAAACGAATGACTGTATAAACTGTGATCTTGCATCAGCTTTAGCAAAAGTATTTCTCTCCTTCTTTAATGATACTACTTTTAAGGAGAAGTCAGATTCCTTATCTATTATGTAAAAAATGCTATAGTTTCTGTATTACTCATTAATTTTCATTCTGCAGCATGGAGAGAATTTACTCACCCACTGTAGTTTTCAGAGGAGTAGATGGTGCTGTGGGGGAGGTGAGGGCCAGCACAGATCTCAGGTAAGCATTCAGTGTGAAGCAGGGACCAGGAACGCCCATGGTTAGTAGAAAACTCCAAGCTGACACTAGTAACAACAGAACAAGCACAACACAAAAGCGGCAAAGATTAAAAAATTACTTTTCATCTCTGCCTAAATACAATAAACATCTTTAGAACTAGTGTGAGATTTCTTTAAGATGGCTCTTTACTAAATGATTGCTTTCTCTTTCACCCAGGTCTGACCAGCCTTCAAAGGGCAAGCAGTTAAATTACTGCTATAATAACAAACTCCTTTAAAAGACAAAAAATGGTAACTTGAGTCTGAGCTCTTGAATTTGATAGATGGCAAGGCAATTACCATGTCTCACACTGTCACTTCATCCTGTGAATGTGAGACACAAAAATTCTTAGAAAGGATCCCAGCAACACTTCTGCAAGTGAAACTGAGAAGTCATAGCTCTTGAAGTGCTAATTGATTTCCCTGCCTATTATTAGGGGGTCACTAGCCAACATGAGGTCAAGCTTGTTTTCAGTTGTTACTCTCTCAGCAATCTGTTGTAATGGATGGCTGCCACAGCGCATGCACACACCTCTCATACCTAAAATCATGCTCTTAGAATGAAGCCAATTCCTACTTAAAATCTACCCAGTCATAACCCACCTATTAACTGAAGGACTTCTCTTTTGGGGAAAATGTGTATTTTATTAATGGATATTTTATTAAAAATCCAGCTAAAAACCTACTGAGAAATTGTCTCTGATTTAACAGCCAAGTTCATGTGTTCATTTTTAACTGTTAGTACACCCACAAAATAGGGTTTCCTACCTGTTACCAGGTTGATGTGTTCCACATCCCAGATTAATAGAAAACTGTATCATGTGAGACATTGTAGAAGGGAGAACAGGTAAGACGTGGAAAAAGTCTACAGCCCAGACACTCCTATTATGTCCTTGATGGTTCTTTTGCCTGAGACAAAATTTGGTAGCAGGAGTCTGAAGTTCAGGGTTGATGACCATGGACACCAAAGATGGAACCTTCCAAATAAAGGAAACCAAATCACTCATAACCTTTCCTATGTTTGTCAATGTGTATTCTCATAGGTTCTCTCTAGTCATCGCTAAATACATAACTGCCATCTGTTGAGCATCAGGCAATAGCCCTGTGTTCCATTTGTTATTTCATGTAGAAGATGCTGTCAAGGAGCATTTTTTTTTTTTTTTTTAGTGACTCAGAATTCCTCCTTTGAAGACAAGTGTGGCTTCTTGTGTGTGATTGATAGGGCTCTCTGTTCAAAGACAAATTGGTCTAAGGTTTTAAAAAGGTTTATCCATTTTATCTACGTTAGCACAAGACAAAGGCAACTTGACATTTACTTGGCTTTATCAATAGTGCTTTGGAAAGTGGATTTGTATGATATTAATGGTTTTCCAAACCAGGTATTCTGAAAATAGTACTCTAAGCAGAAACTTTCAGAGCCAATGAGTTAATGTATAACTTATACAATTGATTTGGTCTGAGACACGCAGATGCCAGACCAGATATAACCCCACCATGTCCCTGCTGTAAAAGTAGTTCACTAAGAAATCCCAAGTGGTATAACATGGGAACATGCTGGATATTGTCATCAATATTGGAGATAAAGCTGACTAATGAGCATGTGGGTATAATCTCAGCACAGGTAAGTCTATTATAATAAAAATAATTTAAATCTGATACCCTATGACAAGCATCTCACATGATTTGACGATATTTGCAAATAACCAGAGACAATATTTGCCCTGTATCCACAGGGCAAAGGAAAAAGGTCAACCTCAGTCACTCTAATTAGCAAAGAATAAAGCAAAGGTAACATAAAAGTTCTGTTACAATGTCATCTGCCTAACAAATCTCAAAAGGCTGGATAAATACTTATTAAGCTTGATAGCAAGGCTGTAAGGCTGCATAATTACAGTCATATTTAGAGCTTTCCTGGGGACAAGAATAACTGTCAGTCAGAGTATTTGGTTCCATTTTATTATTGCTGATGGGCTATAATTCTTTCTTCTTGATAAAATCTAATTTTTATTTGTATCAGAAATAAAAGTGAATATTAAAATGTCCATGTCACTTTTTTTTTAAACTGGCAATTTCTTGGGCTGCCAGGAAAGGGATTTATTCTCTGTATCTGGCATGGTCTTCATGGTTTTGACTTTGGCTTGTCTGGGGAGTTGTGAGGTGAGCATTTGGCACAAGGATTGGGAGTTGTACCTTATATGAGGAATAGGAAAGAGTATCCAGTGCAATGTGCTCTTTTCTTCCTTCTATCTTTGCATACAAGATGATGTCATTTTCATGAGAATCTCCGGGGTCACAAATTCCTCCTGCACCAAATAAAAATTTCGTGGTGTTAGTACCAACCTGCATTCCCCAAACATCAAATACAGTGTTAAATTTCAGAATAAGAAATAACTATGCCACCCAGATGTCACTTAATAATCCTAGGGGCTGCAGTTGTATCTCAGTGGTAGAATACTTTCCTCACACGTATGAGGCACTGGATTTGATCCTAAGCACCACAAAAAATAAAATAAATAAAACAAAGGTATTGTGTTCACCTACAACTAAAAAATTGATCCTAAACAAAGATAATCAAACCCAAGGAAATCATTCATGAAGATAGTTCAGATGAGCCATGCTAAAGACTTGATATTTGTGAAGGTCAAAGTAACTATTTGCTTAATGGGATTACTCAAGTAAATGTCTGTGTGTAGCAGGACAACATGTCTCTGTTTCAACCCACATTAAAAATGATATGCTTTTGGGGAGAGAAAGGGGCTGAATTAGAGCAAATTATATTCCATCCTTTTATACATTACATCAAAATGAGTTCTAGTGTAATGTATAACTAAAAAGAATCAATAAAAAGATGTGCTCTTGCTTTTTAATAAACCATTACTTTCTTATATTTGAGATCTTTATGGTCAAAGTTCAGAACCTATTGATTATGATTTTAAAACAAGTTTGGTGATGCACTGCATTAAAGACTTATAAAGTGGTGTCATTCAGGCTGTTGCAAAGTAATACCTATGGTATTTTAGCACATATATTTGTATTTTAAGTGAGGTTCATTTTACATTTTTCATTTTTATATTTGGTACTTCATTTGATTGTTGGAAGGTACATAAAGTAGTTATTCACTATCTACTTCACAGTCCACATGAAATGATATGCTATTAGAACTGGAAGGTACTTAAGATTTTTCTGATGATGAAATTGAATATCACGGAAGGTACTGGAAGTTCAAAATCATTTAACCAGCTGGAGGAAAAGCCACGAGTAGATACAAGTCTTTTACCCTTTGATCCTCTGTATTTTAGTCAGCGTTTTCATTGCTGTGACCAAAAGACCTGACTGCAACAATTTTAGAGGAGGAAGAGTTTATTTGAGGCTCACAGTTTTAGAGGTGGTGGAAGGATGTGGTGGAGGAAAACAGCTTAGGATAACCATCAGGAAGCAGAGTGAGAACTCACTCACCAGGGACAAAATGTATACCCCAAAGGCACACTCCCAGTGATCTACTTCCTCTAGCCACTTCTACCTGCCTGGTTACACACCCCCCATCATCCATTCAAGTGCATTAATGCATTGATTCAGTTAAGGCTTTCATAACCCAATCATTTTACTTCTAAACTTTCTTGCATTATCTTACACATGAGCTTTTGGGGGACACTTCATATCTAAACCATAACACTGTTCTTTTCACTACTGTGCTTTGCCAATAATTCTTGCTATTTCTGACTTCTATCCATCGTCTGCATAACCTAGATTTTAAAGGATCCCATGTCTAACTATATGCCTCTCCCCACCCACCATTATCCTTCATATCAGTCATAATCATGACAACAAAAGTGTGAATGTGTATATACAATTACTGGAAAATATCCTATCTTTAAGGCCCAAAGTTTGTAACATTATTACAAACTTTTATTATTATTATTTTTTGTGGTGGTGGGGATTGAACCCAGGGCCTTGTGCATGAGAGGTGAGCAGTCTACTAATTGAGCTATATTCCCAGCCCCACAAACTTTAATTATTATCTGAAAATTCTTTCAGTTCTTAAATCAGCCACTTTCAATGTTAATTTTTATCTATAGGCACCTGCTGTTGCTAGCACTCTATGGTGCCAGTAATGGAATCCCAGAGTTCTAGAATGAGATTACCCTTTGAGAATTAAACTCGGAAAATAAATATTGGTTGAGACTCACAACGTGAAATAAAATACACCAAGAAAGGGTCAATTGCTTATAAATGGTTGATTCAAAATCCATTAGCGTAACTGGTTCTGATCTTGGGAAGAAATGATTTTCTAAGTGATGTTAAATAAGAAAACTAGAAAGAATCCAATCAGTAGAAGAAATCTCATAATAATAGAAGAAATATTAGCATAAAAAGAAGGACATCATAGAGCAAGACTTTGACAGGATGTCTATAGCCTTGACAGGAATAAAAGGGTTTTTAATGATAAAGGCAAGTCCTGTTAATTCATTTGGCAAGAAGTATCCTGCAGTGAAGAATGATATATCAGATTATCATAGTTCTGGAATTCTTGCCATTAAAATGACTGGGTGATAGGTATATCTGATTTGATCCTATAAACATTGTTTATTCCTTAATGCTTAACGGTTAAAATTGTCATACTTATTGAGAAGAATTATGATTTGTCCGTAAGCCTCCTCAGAGCTTTTAGCAGGAGCCAGTCTCCAAGATCCCATTTCTGGGATTAATTAAGAAAATTGATTTTTTTCTGAATCTATAAGCCTGAGACCTGCATAGTGACAGTAATGACTCCACCAAGGTCACCAGTGAAGCCCATTTTGATTGGCAAGCTGTCTTATTTATATAACTTCCTTAAAATTTCATCTTCCTAAATGTAACAATTCTCAATAATCTAAACTAATAGTTAAACAGATGACTTGTAATTGCTTTGGAAGCACACTACTGGAATTATACTGTGCAAATACTCTAAACTCAATTCTCCTAGGCTAATTCTAAAATTATTTGGCATTTTTGAGAAGCACCAGTGGAAGTAACCCAATAACTTGTCTTGATTGCAGAGAAGCCAGGGTCTGGCTTGAAAACTAAGCTTCTTTAAGATAGACTAGAGGATTCTGGGAGTTTGCTACTAGAGTATCTAGTTGAGCCAGAGAAGGAGGAAGTTCAGCACACATTCTTACTCTATTGCTGTGTTCCTAGAGCTGCCTAGGGGTTTGTGGGATAGCAGTAAATTACAGGGTGGAGCTGTGGAAATTAACTTCCATATTTGGTCAAAAAGTTTTGGAGAGTAGATTGAGATTCCGGCTCATGACATACTGATCTTATAGTTCAGTCACTTGTGAGAAAATCTGCCTGATAATCTGTTTAATTCCCAAAGAGGACGGAGGAGAATGATTCCAGGTGGGATGACAGGGAAATGATCTGCAGCATAGAGAATGCCACAGAGAATAAGGTCAAAGGTCAAATAGGATAAGGCTGAGAGACCAACAGGGACTTTTGAGAAAGAATTCCCAATGTGAAATGCCTGGGAAACTAAAGCACATGGAGTTAAAAAAAAAAAAAAAAAAGTCTGCTCCTTCAAGAACTTATTCCATAGAGTTAAGAAGAGATATGGTCTGGATCTTGAGGAAAGGGCAGTATCTGTGGCTTTCCAGTTTCACAAAGAATTGATGGTGGAAATGGTGGTAGGCAATGTCTGGACCAGGGTTTTATTTTGGGCCAGACTTTCGAGCACTTACTGTGTGCAGAGATATAGTCAGCTTTGTGTTGTTGGGACTGAAATATCCAACAAGAACAACTTAGAGGAGGAAAAGTTTATTTTGGCTCATAGTATCAGAGGCCTCAGTCCACAGACGACTGCATTGCACTTGGACAAAGGTGAGGCATTAAATCATGGTAGAAGGTCAAGGATCCAGGGATAATATAATCCCCAAGCAACCCCTCAGTGACTTACATCCTTCAGCAAATTCTACCTGACTATAGTTACCACCCATTAATCCATTTAAAATTTTAATCCACTGATTATGTTACAGTCCATCACAATCTAATCATTTTACCTCTGAACATGTCTTTATTGTCTCACACATGAGCTTTCTGGGACACCTCAACCATAACAGTTCTATAACGAGCCCATACTACCAAAGTCAAGTCTGTAGTTAACATTATTTTGTTTGACTCCAAATTTACACTACCACTCAGAAGGGAAGTCTTGGATGATGGTATTTGTTTTCCTGTTTGTTGTTTGTTAAGTAGTACTGAGGATTGAACCCAGGGCCTCATGCATGCTAGGCAAGCAATCTACCACTGAGCTATATCCCCAGCCTGAATGATGGTATTTATAAAGCATTAACATTTGGCATGTAGATATGTTTGCCTCAGGTAAATTTGCCTATTTAAATATTTATAGGATTAAGTAATATGAACTGAAAATAGAGAAAGTAGATATGATAATAATGCAGATCTCATCCTAATGGATGCTTGTTGCTCAAGGTCAACCACCCATAGAGAACATCTTGTGATTTTAACATTAGCATCATAGTTTTAGCATTTATTACAAACTTCAACATTTTGATAAGTACAGTTAGTAAAGTCACCGTAAATGATGGTGTCTGGAGGAAAGGATCCATGTTAAAAACAAAATTCCCTTTTAGAAAAATCAGGTTTATTTTTTTAAAAATTGAGTATTCAGCACATTCGCAGGCTTACCAGGAAAAAGAACTAAAAAGGTTAAAGGTCACAGGTGGTGTGGGTTTGGGGCACCACACCTAAAGACATAGGACCCAAATTATCAATTCTCTGTGATTTCATTAACTTGTTCCCTGTGCCCCCTGTGCTTTCCTAAGAATAGTCCATGAACTGCATCTGCTTGTCAGAGAGACGCAAAACATGTGGGAGCCTCGCCCAGCCCAGAATGGCCGAAGAAGGTCCAAAAGGAGCCAAGACATTAAAATGTTGATAGACTTTATCTGAAAGAGCCCTCTGAGGGTAATTTATCAGTTCTGTGAAGTTTCAGTGACAGCAGCTCCTGCAAGAAGAAATGAATTCTTCCTTAGCTTCATAGCCTTTGATGCATTGTGGAAAGTAGCACTCAGGGGGCATCTCGAATAGCAATGAATGCAAAAAAGGATTTCAATAAAAGCTAGATGAATGGATGTTTTTAAGTATTTTAAATACTGTTTTAAGTAGCATTTAAGATACTTATTTATACGAGGAAAGTGATTTTTTTGAGGCTTTGCTATTTGCAGAGCGTTGGACTAGAAGAGGAAATACATCTTGATTTCAAAAAATTTGTTATTTAGTGAGGAAAAACAAGACCGGTATACAGGAGTCTCTCTTATTCCTAATTTTGTTTCCATTGTTTATTTTCCATGGTCAACTACAGTCTGAAAATATTAACGTCTGTCTTGCCTTGTCTAAGACAGAGAGACCACAATTACATAATATTTATTGCAGTTATTACAATTGTTCTATTTTATTACTAGTTATTGTTATCAATCCCATACTATGCCTAATATATCAATCAAATTGTATCATAGATATGTGTATGTATAAAGAACCAGAATATATAGGGTACAGTACTGTCTGTGGCTTCAGGTATCCATTGGAGATTTTTGAACATATTAATAAGGAGGATATGTTGCTACTTATATGAAAAAATGACTAGAAACTGTTGTGCACCACAGCTGTAGCAAAAATGCAGAGAAAAAAGATATAAATATGAGCTAAAAGAACTGAGCACATTGTAGATGCTAATAAATACTTATTGGAGGACCAATAAACAAATAATCAAATGAATGATGTCTGTTAGGTTATTTTTGTCCTGTTCATTGAATTCTGGCTCTAAAAACAGTGCTGAATACTGGCCCTTAATGAATTTGTTTGAATAAATGAATGTATAAACAAAGGAAACAGACTTTGAACTGAATTTTGGAAACTGGATAAGTTTTCCAGAAATTACATTCACAAAAATCTGATAGGAAGCAAGCATATAATATATCATGGACAGGGTCTGATGCCCTTTAGATTAACAATTAGCCACTGATTCTCCAAAGGTGCCAGAGGGGTTACTTATAAACCATCTTATGATAAATCCCTTCCCATAGTACTTTCTTTCCCACTAGCTACCAAAGTTTCAGTTTTTTCTATAGGTCCAGTCTTATCCTATCCCACCATATCCTACCTTACCCTCTCCTCTCCTCTCCTGTCCTAAAACAAACAACTTCCCTGGATACCGTGGTTTCCTCAAGATCCAGACTTCATTTGTTTTCTTAACTCTACTGATGACATTCTTGAAGGAACAGTCCTAGTTCAGTGACATGTTATTTTCTTTTTTTTTTTTTTTAACTCCATGTACTTTGGCTTCCCAGGTGTTACACATTAGGGATGTTCTCTGGAAGGTCACTGGTGGCCTCCCAGCCTTTTTCCTGGTTGGCCTTTCTCTTTATGGCATTCTGTACACTGCAGATCACCTCCTGTCATCCCACTTGGATCACTCTCTTTCATCCTCCTTTGGTGTCAAATGACAGACCTTCTTCAGACCTCCTTTGAAACCCTGTCTCAGTCTCCTTTGCCCACTCTGTCCTTCTACCTATATCTAACTGAGGGTTCTTCCTAAGAATTTTTCAGATCTTATGCTACTTCCACTTGGGAGACATGGCAAGCCCAGGGGTTCCAGTTGTCACCTGCATGTGGAAGATTTTCAAATCTGACTCAAACCCTGAATAGAATTTCTTCTTTCCCATGACAGTCTAGAAATCCCAGTCTTAACATATCTAATAACAAAATATTCTCCACATTTGCCTCCTTTTTTTGATATTTCCTAGTTTAGGAAAATGACACTATCTTTCCAGTCACCCTGAAGAGAAATCTGTGTCCTCTCCAGTATAGTTCTCACCCCACCCCACCACCCCCACAGTCAACTCTTCAGTTATCCCCTCTCTGTCCCTTCTGTGACATTACCACCATTACTGCCTGGATTCTTTCATTGCTCGATCTAGTGCAATAGCCTCCTGATTTAGGGTAGCTGGATGCACACATTGCATGGAAAATATTTATACAAAAATTATTGTTTGTCTGTAATATGTTTAATTGGGGTTGCATTTTTTCTTTTACCTTTTTCTTTTTTTCTCTCTCTTTCTTCCATCTGACAAACTTGCCCTGACTAGAATACTGCCTTCTGATTTCATATTGTTTCAATCTTTCTTTCATTCTTTTGTCAGAATCATCATTCTAAAGCCCACCAGATGGTATTCTACAGAACCAACAAGAACTGTCTGATAACCCCAGGTAACCTAGAAAAAGAAAACTCTTCAGGATTAAAGAAAATCACTACTCAGCTCCAATTCACTTTTCTAGCTCAGTCTTCCATGCTTCCATTCATCTATGTGTGAGAAATCACCCAGCCCAAAACATACCATGTACTTTTATTTTCATGCTCCCCCCCCCACCACAAATGGCTTAGCTTAGAATTCTCTTCTTCCTTTAAATGCAAATCACGCCCACTCTTCAAGGCGGAGTTCAAATGCCATCTCCTTTATGAAGCTTTACCTTTATCCCTCCACTACAGTTTCCCACTGTGATTGCTCAGGGTTTTTTTCTGCACTTCCATAGCAGTTTCATTCCACTACAGCAGCCTGCATTCTCCCTTGTACATAGTTAGGTGTTACTTGTGGGCAGGAGCTGTGTCTAAGTAATTTTTAAATCCATAGCAACAAAGAGATGTAAGTTTATGTATTACTCACTGTTTTGAGTGCTTTGTGGGTATTAACTCATTTGACCAGCAACACTGTGATTCTGGTGGCATTATTCTCCCAAGTTGTAATCTCTACACATCCTAGTTCAGAGCTCTACATTTAATAGACATTTATTACTTTTAATTGAATGGAGATGATTTATTTGGGATAATGTACTTCTTTGGGTTCCTTTGAGTTAATTTTCCTGTATAATCAACACTATTTTTAATTCATTAGTTAATAACTTGCTTTGCTCTAGAAAGAAATAAAGATGACTTAATATCTCACATATAGACACTTATAAAAAGGAATTTACACAACGAGGACTTAATCTTATATAAACATACTTAACTGGGTTGCTTTTCTGTGAAAAAGTCAAGAATTCAAATATATTATGTAAAAAAATGGTAAAAGGGGAAAAAATCTAAATTAGATTGGCATAGTAAATATTCATTCCAACTTTTTTTTTTTTGCAATAGGTTTCTCAGGAATTGCTTTTAATAAAATGAGAGACAGCATGAACATGAATTATTTAGAGGAAATGAACTCTGGGCCTTTAAATATACAAACCATTTCAAAGTCAAGGCAAGGATTTTCTTAAATGTGAGATTACATTATTTTCTATCTATGACTTCTCAGTTATCAAACAGATCATTATTGGAAACGAGTTAGCATCACACAGGCAATATGCTTGAGAGCATGATACAGTCCTGAGGTTTACCATGCAAATCTGAGCTGGATGATTGTCAAAGAGGTGAAGTGAGGAATGTGAGATAAATAGCCACAGCCAAAGAAGCCTAGATTCAGGAGACCTGTTTGTCCTGCTGAACTGACATCTCTTCTAGGAAGTTCAAAGGTAGACAATGTTTGTTTCCTGTTTCACTTCCAGATGTTGCCTGTGCTTTCCCAGTCACTCAACAAAGAAGGCATGTGACAACTACACACATTTCTGGAATGACATCAGGAAAAAACATGTCACCGTGGCTCTTGTTGACTAGCAGGCTAAATTTTGGGGGAGGGTGGTTCACCAATTTCAAACCCCTAATTCTTCCCTAGGTATTTTTCCAGCTTTGTTTACTCTAAAATAAATCTAAAGAAAAGGGGGCTTATGAATACTTCCTTTCTTTATGTGTTTGCAAAAAGAATGTAGAGAATATTATTAAAGAATGATAAAATGTTATAAACTTGTTTCTTTTACAGTCTCTCCCAACAAAGAGGTTAGGCAATGATGGGATATCCATTGAAAACAAATGACTTACCCTGACAGACTGCTTTTTGGTGAGGTTACTGGCTATGGACAAAGGAGTTGCTTTGCTTTTAGCTTTTCTCCTATTGTCTTCTCAGCCATGACCATAGAGCAAGAGGTGAAGGAAGGTATTGTGGCATTTTTCTTGAGGCCCAGTCATGGCATGCTAAGACTAGCTCTTGGCAAGAAGACACCAGCAGGGCCCATGCCATAGGCCTTTGCTGTGTCCGCAAAGTTCATATTTCATGAATTTTCATTTTATATAGTAGACAACAAACAATCTTACTTCTTAGGAATAAGTCCTGGACTAGAATCTGCCCTAAGGTCAACAAAGTTTGTTCAAAATGTACCTACCCATAACGAAGTAAAATCTCAGGTTCCCGTAACCAGTAGTGTCCATGTATGGAGTGCATAATTTCCTCTCTCCGTCTTTGAGGAAGACCATTGATAAACCTGATTCTATTGTTCCGCACTCTGTACCGATAACAGCTCCCAAGATGTCCCACCTTAAAAAAAAAAAGTCATTGAGAGCAAATCTTTACAAAGTAAAAAATTCTGTTTTTAACTAAGAACATTTATTTAGCAATGAATGATTCTGAAATAAAGGTGTGGTACTGCAGACTTTAGGCAATGAATATACTTGGAACACATCCCATTCACAGTTATGGTTCTTCTCTAGAGAGACAATTTTTATTAGTACTATGCTAGTTTGTCTACCACATGGCCAGAGCGTGCTCCCAAGTAGGACAGTGTTTACTTTCAAAGTACTTGCAGTTCAGTTCAGGAATCAAATATGAACTAAGGAAACAGTGAACCATTGAATATCATAATATAAACCCTTGCATGGTATTTTGCATATTAAAAATTATTCTAGAATGAAAAGCTGTAATAGCTGCCAAAAGTCCAGCAAGTTTTCAAAAAGGAGACAGGATTTAAAATGGGTCTGGTCCAATAGGTCTTTGGATATGTACAAGAGAATCAAAATAGCTAACTCCTTTTTAGTGCTAACTTAGATGTCAGCTCCTTTTCTAGGCTGACACATTCTTCACATATTATATGCATTTAATTCTCACAGTAACCCCATATGAGAGTAACTATTTCTATCCTAATTTTTTTCAAATTATTTATTTATTTATTTTGGTACTTGGGATTGAACCCAAAGGTACTTAACCACTGAGCCACATCCCTAGTCCTTTTTGTTTTTAATTTTGAGATAGGGTCTCTTTAGGTTGCTTAGGACCTTGTTAAGTTGCGGAAGCTGTCTTGAACTTGTGTGATCCTCATGTCTCAGCCTTCTCAGTCTCTGGAATTACATACCCAGTTCTATCACAATTTTGGATGGAGGAACTGAGATTCAGAGAAGTTTAGGACAGAAAACAAAGAATGGGGATGGTACTCAAATCCATGCAATATGACTTGAGAGCCTGTCATATACTGTATTTGGGGTTGATGACAACATGTGAGTAGAGGCTGAGAACTGGGTATGACCCTGACACTATTAACAGTGAGCTATCAATAGACGGTGGAGAGTGCATACTGGGGAACAGCAAAAACTATACTTGATTAGTAAATTGGAAGCAACTCATGAAGAGCTCAGATAGAGGATTTCAGACTCCATTTCAGCAGCCCTCAGGGTGATATTTCTAAAATGCAAACATGATTATGTCTCTCCTTTGCTTAAGGTCTTTCAGTGGCTCTCCGTTGCTAACCAACAAATTCCAAACTCTGTAATGCAGAATATAAGGTCCTTCCTGGCCTGAAGCAAGAGCACTTTCCTAGCTCCACCTTTATACCAACTCTTTGGCTATATAGCATGAATTCGAAGTTATTAAATTATTGTTTGTCAGACCTCCATAGCTTTAGTCACTGTCTACTGGCGAACTCAGAGTCATTCTTCAAGATGTCCTTTAAATATTGTACACCTTCCATAGGGACCTTCCCAGACTCCCTTACTTCCCCTAAATAGCCACACCATCTCTCTGACTTAGATTCTTCCTTCATGATGCCACTGCTCACTGCATATTGCTATTACTTCTTTATATGCCTTTCTTTATCTTGATGTGTCAACTCCTAAGACAGGTATTTTATTTTTATATTCTTAAATTTAGCTCAGTGTCCAATACCCAGTAGAAGCTCAATAATTCTGTGGAACTATGGAAGTATCAAAGGATTCTAGATCCAAAGAGGGTGTAAAACCTAATCCAATGTGCTGGCAGCTGGAAGTGGGATTCAGCAAGCCCATTGCCAGCATCAATGGGCTTGCTGAATCCCATCTTCACTTTCCTCTGCTTTCTGTAGCTTCATTTTTACCCTCTCTTGTGAGACAACTCACTCTTTGCAGAGAGTAGGAAAACAGCTCCTTCTGCCCTTTCCACCCAGACCTTCCAAGGTTGAGAAAGGCCAAGGGCAGGTCTGATTTCTACTCCTTCTCCCAGATTGGTGATATGATATTTCAGTCACAAGGTCCCCTGTATCTAGACTTAATGACTGGTGACACCATGGTTGCCGAGCTTTGACTTCAGTCCTCCTTCCACATTGAAGTCATAGCTTTGAAGGTCAAGATTCTCTGCCTGATGGATCTTCGCGAAACCGTCCGCCTATCTAGACCCAAGACTTGACATGACCACTGAGCTTTAGCTTATCCATCAGCCTTGGCTCTGGGCACACACTTTAAATGTTCAATATGTTCAGAAAGATTTTTAGGTTTTGATCTCTTTTCAAGATTCAAGAGCTTAAATGAATAATCTTATATAACATTGGATCCTTTCTTCCCCCAAATGCCTCTCTTCTTGTTTATAATCTCTCTTCTCCCATTACAAATCTGATTCCTCTGTCTTTTCCCCTTCCTAAGTCTGACCCATCTGTTGCCACCCAAGTGCTGGTTTTGACAGTGAGAAGTGAAAATAAACTAGTAGGTCAGAGAATGATCAGAGCTCTAAGCATTTATAGCACAACACAATGAAGAGGCCTTTAAAACTACTCAAAGAGAAATCTTGTAAAACTTTTATTATTTTTTAAAATTATAACAGAAGTCAGAGATTGTTTTTTTTTTTTGAAGAATGACCATACACTTTTGATGTACACTGAGGTCATTTCCATGTTTTTGTCATTACTAGCAGGGCTGCATTCAAGGTCCTGTGTAAATGTTGACATGCACAGAGCCTTTCTTTGCTGTGTCTGTGAGAGAGGATGCCTAATCCCCTAAGGCACGCATTGCATTACTGAATTTTTTTTTCTTTGCATTCACAATGGTACTACCTATCTTCACCTTAGGAGAATTGAAAAAATAGTGACTCAGATTATTTTCTATGTTATGGGGTTCTCATAAGAATCTCAGTTGTGAAACGTTAACAGGAGTACCATGTCTGGAAAAGGAATTACTGGGAGACATGTCACTTCCTTATCACTCCACTCTTCAACAAAACAATTGGATAAATACCTGTTCCCATCAGGAGGGTTTAAGATTCCTATCTCCCCACAAGTTCACCTTCATTTGATTTTGTCAAACTTTTATAATTTGGCCTAAGAGATGGAAATAAAACTTTATCACACTTTGACATTTCTGTGATTACTAATGAGGCTGGAAATCTTTTCATGTTTATGGCCAGTTGGGGTTGCTCTTTGAGTTGTCTATTTCTGACTTTTGTCCTTTTTCTACTAGGATCTGTCTCTTCTGGCTCATTTCCTTGTGATTTAAATTTTGTTTACTCTGGATAGTAACAGTAATCTTTCCTTGGCTAGTAACCTTTTCTTTTCTTTCTTTTTTCTTTTTCATTATGTTTATGTGTCTTTGGGTAATATAAAAAGTTTTTAATTTATCTTTTATTTATGGCTTGTAACTTTTTTCTGTTCAATAAATCTTTCCCTACCCTGAGAACATAAAGAGATTCCCTTGTACTTTTTCATATGATTTTAAAATTTTGTTTCTTACATTTATGTAGTTTTAATTCATTTGAAATTGATTTTGGATAATAAATAAAGTTGAGATCCAATTTTATTCTTTCTATACAGGCAACTGGTTATCCCAGCACCATTCACAATTTCCTCTCCAAATGATTGACTGGTAATGCCACTTCTGTCACAAAATAATCTCCTATAAATGTCTCCAGGCTCCAGCCTCATTAGCCTACACAGCTATCTCTATGTTGTAACCAAGTGGTTTTAATTGCTATTTCTGTATAATAACTCTTGATAGCTGCCCCCCTCCCCACATGCCTTTCACTTCTTCACACTTGGCCTTGGCTGCTCTTGTCTGTGCTTATTCCTCCTAATGAATATGAGAATCACCTTGTTGAGTTCCATGAAAAACCCCGCTTGGACCTGGTTACGAATCCACCATTTCTGATTTTACTCAAAAGAAATAATCCAATTTAAGTTGTTGCTTCTCTATAAAAAATCTTTTTTTCTCTATTTGATTTTTTTTTTTTTTTTTGGTCTTGGTCTTTGGTATTCCAAAGGTTTTTGATGAATGAAGGTGTAGGTTATTTTATTTCTTATGCTTTGAGGACCTGATCAGCCTTGTCATTTTGAGGATTCATATCTTTAATCAGATCTGGAAAATTGTAAGTCACTGTCTTTAATATATTAACTTTTGCCCATTCTTTCTACATTTGTTCTGGAACTTTCACTAGACTATATATTTTATGTTATATTTTTCATGTCTCATACTTATTATCTTTATTTCTTTCTATACTGCATATTCTCTCAGTTCTATCTCTAGTATAGTATTCTAATTCTTTAGCTCTTTCTAACTTTTAAAAACTACATAGTGAATATTTAATTCTATGACTGTATTTTTCATTTTTAAAAGTTCTCCTTGGTGCTTTTTAGCATCTATTAGGTTTTTAAAATAGTATCCCTTCTTTTAAAAAAATTCTTTAAAATAATTTAATCATGTTTGTTTTATATCTCCCTCATATTTCTCTTTTACCAATTTCTCCTTTTTATGTATTTGCTGACTGTCCTTTTTGATGTATCATAAGATCATTTAGATAATAGTTTTACATTGTGAGTTTACCTTATTTCATTATGGAATTATTTCCATTGTGAATTCCACACACCTTGCAGGAGGGTTTCATATTTGTGTTTATGAGCACTTTGAAGCTTCCTTGGTTCTGAATTCTTTTTGACATTAATTTCTCAGTTAAGCATTTTCTTATAACCCAGGTAGAATGAATGTGAATTTTACATTTGTTTAGGGTTTCCGTTCTCCTGGGAATGGAATCAATGAAAGGAGCTATTACCCCAATTACTTCTTTATGGAGGAGGAGCTTTTCAAGATCCCAGCTTTATACAGGAATATCAGTTCTAGCTGCCATCTGCCAAGTGTCCTGTATGGGTATTTTAACCCAAATTGTTAGCCTTAGATTATACGGGGTGTGGTATGCCCTGAACTATCTAAATGTGAGCTGGAAAGTTAACCATCTAGGTTTAATCTTTGCTCCTGGCATCCGCTCATTTTCTTTCCCTATCCTATGGCTAAGCATTAAAAAGAATTATCATACTAATCCAACATTTCTATGTGTTTGGTAGAGGGAAAAGGACCATGTGAACTCAAATTTGTCATCACAATTTCAAATTTTTTAGCAGGATGGTACTATTGACAATGATCAGAAATGAAAAGAAAAAATTAGTTCATTTTAGGCCCTCGTTTAATTATATTAGGGGTGTTAACAACAAATTAAAGGACTATGTAATCTTTCAGATCAGTAAGTGACTTTTTTCAAGTAGTATTCAATATTTTAAAATGTTAAATAATCACCAATTTTTAAACACAGATTGGCTATTAACTCTTCCACTTATCTTTAAACATTAAAATTATATACTCTGTATCCTTGGTGACTTTATTATAAAGAAAGTAATTTCATAAATAAGAAAGCAAACAATTGTTAGTTGCTAAATATTAACAGTTCTCCAAGGTATGGAGATGTGTTCCCTTTTAAGAAAATAAATATAATGATTATTAGCCAT